TATTGAAACTAAAAAATGTACATCTACGAGTAGGGATAAAGACAACGAAAAAATTAGTCATTCACATACAGCTATGTCGAGGAAATTCTCGTAAATGGAAGGGAGGGAATGCGCATGAGCGCAAAAGACTAACCCGGAATGGCATACAGTTTTTCATAAACTCCCTAGTTGCTACTGAGTTCCTGGTCTTTCAGGTACATCATCATAGGCAGATTTTGACAATTTCCACCTTGAATTTATGTGAAATCTGAGAATGGATTTCGGACTACACAACAAAACACAGAAAAGATTGAACGTAGAAGGTGGTGTACTGGCAAGCACCACTCTCACCCAAAGATGGTTCAGGGATCGAATCTCAGATTGATATCCTCCGTGCCAATCGAGCCCGGCACTCCTCCGGGGTGTGTCTGTTGGTCAACATTCGTCCAGAAGATTAGACAGATCTGTACATCGGCTAGCCACTGAAAGCTGATGTACAGATCTGTCTAATCTCCACCTCCAATTCAAATTCAAATCGACATTTCAATTCTGAATGGAAGTCGAATGCTGGAGCGAACTCCTTGACAAGGAAGACTCATTACAAAAAAACTTCACTTTTTGCTCGAAAAGCCTTGTTGCAGTTCAATCAGTAGCAAGCTTTCCACTGCAATTTTTCCTTAATGTGACACCTGTCACACTGTTGTCGAAATGAATTTGTTCAGAAATCAACACTACTTCAAAACGAACAAAGACCAGGTGAATGTGATTAATTTTGCAGTTGTTTTCTCAAGTACAACCCGAGAGTACCAATAATTGCGGTTCCCATGTTTCACAGAAAAACAAATTATTTTTAGCGTCTGCTCTAATGTTGTTGACAAAGAAAAAAGGAAGGCATACAACATGTCAGTGGAGTTTCCCAGCATGAATGCGAAAAAGAAAATGTAGTAGACACATGGAAGCTTATTAGAACTAAAAAGCTCCTCTTGAACGACTTGAGAGTTATAACGAGTGGGGAGGTAGTTTTACCTTCTCGTGAAAGTCAATGAGCCCAGCCTTCTTCTCCGTGAAGGTAAGATCCAAATTGTCGTCACTTGCAATAGTGGAAGATTATTTGGTGTATTGGGCGCAGGTGGGGTGGTATAGTGGCAGTTGACGCACTATCATACATATGGTTACGCGTTCGAACCCACAAGATCGATATCCGCCTAGCCAACCAAGCTTTCCATCCCACCGTTGCCGCCAGTTAGTACCGCATCCGAATGAAAGGTTAAAAGCGCTGCTTGTACATCGGCTGGCCACCACAAGTCACTGTTTAGGCCAAATACGCATTCAGTACGCCACTACAGTACTGATAGAAGCGAATGTGTTAGCGCATCCCTCAAATATGGGATTTCGGCGATTGTGCATTCTTTAATTGAAAAAGGCTCGTTAATGTATCCTATTCACTGATGTCTACTTCCTTATTCATACTCTAATTCTCTAAGTTTTGAGATTAGGTAATCAGACAGCACAATGGATTACGAAAGAAATTTTCGGTCTAGTGCTTTAGCACATCGACAACAAACTGAATGGAATTCCTACCCGGAACTAAAGAACTCATGAGCCATCCCTCGGAAAGTTGATACTGTGTGCGGGAACGGGTTTCGGGAACAGATTCTACCATATTCATAGCACTCCTGGAATCAACCATGGGTATGTCATCATGTGGTCGAGTATATTGGATCCCCAGCTCTATTCGACATCCTAGCGGCCGACGCCACGTGCGTAGCCAAATGATGTGGTGACTCAAAAGCCAAGAACCAAGAAACCTCCCCTGTCACCATTTCTACCCTGAACGCTGACATCGTGTTAGCCCCTGAGCTGATGTTGGAGAGCGAAGTGTAGAGAGGAAAATGGCTGTAGTGAAACGACGAGCCAAACCAATCGACCTTCATCGTTGGGCGCTTTGGAGAGCAAGTGAACATTATAGTGCTGGTATTGTGGCTGTTTACCTAAACTTGCAATTCTGATGAATCGTAAGCAGGAACGTCAAGCCTTATCACACAAACCATCGCTGTACTTAAAATTTGTATCACTTCACATGAAATTAGGCACTATGATACGAAATTTTTCAATCGCCTTCCAAACAGAGCCATGTTTGCAGTTTCCCTTTTTTTGATGATCCAAATCTCGGAGTCTGGTGGCATATACGTTAGCAGGAAACACCATGTTGTGATATAAGGAGTGGGTTTCTGACAGGCTATAAGGTGGTGAGAAGTGATGAGGTACACTCTTTGTTGATACCCGGGGTCGATTCCGCTTTGGGGAGAGATCGCCGAGACAAATCGTAAGCCGTTCCGTTCATGTCAAATACGACTGACAAATGTGTGCTAGAAATTTGTTTGTTTACTTTTCTATATACTCAAAACCCTTAGCAAATCTGCGTTCGCTAATAATTCAAAATTTTGGACAGCTGTGTAGATGCGAGAACTGGCATGAGAGAATCCGTCAGCTTTGAACAATTCCGTATTGGCGAGCGGAATCTGCATTCAACTTCTGTTCAGGATAGTACTGGCGTATGGATGGGTACATGACTTGGGCACTTATTTATGCTAGCCAGCCGATATACAGTTCAGCGCTTCACTCATCTCAGACGAGTATGGGACCATTTTAAGCGGGCGCCATTTTGGCTTGACTAGCGTGTGATAGTGGACCGGTTGTCATTACATTACCTGATCCATCGTATGTCCCATAGAAGTTTTTTTTTTTCTCAGGAATAACATATGCATTTTCTTCGATGCGATTGTCATTCTTTTCCTTGTCTGGACGAACTAATTGTACTCGCCCGAACGTTTGTGACGAGCAAATGCGAGTACCTTAAAATTCCATAGATAAGAGCGGGTGAACCTACCGGTGAAAAATGAATTGGAAAAAATCGAAATTGAATGCAGTCACCCCTCTAACTTGATGCATGGATAAATTAAACTTTGAAGAAGAAGTTAAGAAGAAGCTCCGCCCCTCAACTCTAAACCCCGCCCACTTAATAAATGATTCATATAGAAAAACAGCGATCCGCTAAAATTGCTATTTCTCTATATGAATTGTTTATTAAGTGGGCGGGGTTTGGAGTTAAGGGGCGGAGCTTCCTCTTAACTTCTTCTTCGAGGTTTAATTTATCCATCCATCAAGTTAGAGGGATGACTGCATTCAATTCCGGTTTTTTCCAATTCATTTTTCACCGGTAGGTTCACCCGCTCTTCTCTATGGAATTTTAGGGTACATTCTGGAACAATTGCCACCGAGCGGCCTTAGCAGCTTTTCTAAAAATATTCGGACACACTGGTTCCTGCGATACAATGTGTTTTGTTCGAAGTCCCATGAGTGCGATACGATAAACAATATATTTATTTTCCCTCAAACACAGTATGATTACAGAAGGATTCGTCGTGATGGTGGAATTGTTACGATGGGCAACGTCGTCGACGTCCCAACTTGGCTAAATCCGCAAAGACGCCGCAATCCTTGGCGTATCTTTGCACTTCCCAGTGCATAGATTGCCCATTTCGAGAGGTTCAGGTTGAACGTGAACTTGAAGATTAAATCTTGCCATATCCCTTGACTGTAAATAAACGACTCATAGATAGTGTCCAATTCTACGCGGCAAAGAAAAATTCCTGTCAGTTTTTCTTGAAATAAGGTATTCTCAATCATTAACTGACAAATTCGCAGCATTAGATATGTACCTGTGATTTCTACAGTTTTACTCTCCCTCCAAGCCTTTTCCAACGTTCACAAAACAGTTTGTAGACGGCAGTACGGTAACAACAACAATGTAATTTTTACGTAACGAAGGAAGTGACGCATGATCGCCTAACTATTGTACAAGTGAGCAGTCTCATGCGAAGTTGTAAATAGGGCTCTAAGCTGGGTAGCTGCTGGAGATGTGCTTTGCTCTGAACATCAAAGAAAACTCGTTGCAAATGCTTGTAAATTTCGCTATTCAGAGCTGGAATTGCAAGTTGCATGCTCAAACTTAACCAGGTGAATCAGGGCGGTTCGAGATGCCCCGGATAAGTGCTCCCATATAAGGAGCAGGCCTTATTCGTGGTATAAGGTGTTAATTCAAATCAACGATTTGGATGTGTTCTGAATCGCACGTCGGACACAGGCCTTTGTTTTGAAGTGGATACCGTTTTCCTCTGTCAAGAACTTCGACATTGACACATTTCTGTATAACATTTGCTCAACAGGCACTCTCTTCGAATACCGTTCTCTTAGTGGGACATTATGGATAGTGGTGCGACGGCTTTCTACTTTTTTCAGATTGTCGTTTATCATTAGCAGAGCAGAGTTCACAGAGAGTGATTTCGAGAAATCTAGAGATATTTATCGTTTTGTTCTGGTGGGCTAGTACAGAGACCAGTGGTCCTCGCATCTACTTTAGGCGTTAGTGTGGTTGAAAAGTCGAAATGTCGAAACCCTCAGCATCCATCTTTTAGGAACCGATAGGAGATGGGGGAAAGGAACAACGAAGGAAATTAACCAGCCGGAAATGGTCGAAGGCAAAAAGGGAAGAAGTGTAAGAAACTATTTCATTAGTGCTACAAGAAAACGATTAGAGGAGAGGTGTCTTAAGGCCAAGTTTGAAAACAATCAGGAAAGTCGTTCAAAAAGAAAGCTATGATCGACGCCCCTCAATCACGGCATGAGCTTTGGCTTAAGGAGGTGGAAGTCATTCAGGAAACGTGGAAACTTCTAGAAAGTGGATGAGCGTAAGAATTTAGGGTAAGGGTTTCAATGCTTTGAGTTCTCCTGGTTCAATAGCAGAGCGGAAATTGGGTAACTACAGTGTTCTTTATAAAAGAAAAGTAAAGACACTGACCGAAATGGTAGGTTCCAGGCAACGGTCATGATTAGGAAGCATGCACTCAAAAGTAGAAAGCTGACTGCTATGCGGATCTCACGGTTGATACTCCTTTCGTGCTGAGCTCTCTGAAAAGAAGATAGTTGATAAACTAGTCTCGATCATTATCGCTCGAGGATCATGTCATGATTTCCTCTGTCTGTCGAAGGTATACGGAGATGACATAAGATACCGTTTCCATCACTGTATCAATAGTAGAAAGAAAAGAGCTGGTGTGTTTCTTCGTCACAGCGATTCGAAGCATACGAATTTTCCAAATGATGGCTATGTCCGCGCAAACTACCACAATTGCACAGATTGCCTGTAATTTATTCAAATGAGACGATAAATGACCAAAGAATCTCTCAGATAAGGGAACCCTCCAACTAGTGCCTCTGCTAGGTGAATTATTATCAAAAATCTATACATACCTGCAAAATGATGTTGCAACTCCAGTATAGGTGTGAGTACGGTTTGTTCAAGTCAAAGAACCAGTAGTGGCCTTCAACTATATAGGAAAAGCCACAGTAGGGCGTATACGTAGGCACTGAAATGAAGTTAGTCAGAAAAGTCAACGTCTCTTGCGAGTGCTGCTAAAAATGTATACCTGTAAGTAGGATACCGATAAAGACGATAAGAAGATTGATCATTCGCATATGTTGTGGCAAAATCGCACGAAACTTCACTGGGAAAAATGCAGCTATAAAATGAAGGGCTGAGAGCACCAACAGGGTGAACAGCTGGCTGAACCACTGCAAATGGAGGAAAAGCATCGAAATGTATGCTTGCTCTGGAGCTGAAATGTTCAAGAAGTATCACTGTTGCAGTAATTGCTATTAAACATCTTTCTTATGGGCTAGTAATCACGAGAAATTCAAGTACTTCAAGACTCAGTTTGATGAAATGAATAAAGTTTCGAAGCTGCATGCACCTTTACGGCCGATGAAAAGAGAAAGTTTCCCGTACTAATGGAAATTTTTTGTAATAGACTTGGGAGCAGCTACCGCTTTATCTCTGGTAGGTCGCCCTTTTCACAAAGGCAAAGAAGGCCAACCTCCTCCATAGACCAGAATCGCCACTGGTTTCCGGGTAGATACTTTCAGTTACCTATTATAGAATTAAAAGTTTCACTGAAATTATTTGGTGCAACCCTTCCTGACCGCTTGTGGTTTTCACAGTCGCAACAAACTAATGAACGTTCATGGTTGCAGGTGAGCTCAACCCGGCTCAGATGATTTTCAACCATTTGTCGTGAAAGCTGCTCCAAGCTTTCACAGCATAGAGCCCCTTTTTCGGAAAACGAAATCACTTTGGTGATGGGAGAGAAGGAGTTCTTCCTTGAATGTGAATGAATCAATTTTTCAGCTCACTTTTGAAAAGATCCGCATCCATGAAAAAACTCGGTACATCGTGAAATATTGTGTTCAAATAAACAGCAATGTCCGTGCCCATACATAGAAAAATTGTCCACAGAATAAGGTGTTGAGCGATTTCCTTCGTTTTTATGGCAAGAAATATAACGGCTATATCTACAACGATGACCACGGTGTTGACAGCAATGTTGGTCACGTATAAAGCGATATCCATATCCGTAGCCTAAATTTAAAGCACATAATTGCCCAAATAGTGACATCGATCATTTGATAGGTTTCGGATGTGGGAAGGTACGATATGTTACAGTTTCTGGAACATTCTTTTACTCTGACAGCATGCCGTAACGAACAAAACTGTGCAAAAATCTTCCAGGAATTATGAAAATTGGCCTTAGAATACATTTGTGATTGAATAGTTCAGCCAATAAGTAAAGAATTATGAATACCTATTAATACTTGCTCCTCTTTCACCGGTGGTTTGATAAACAGTTTTATTAAATACAATTTTGCGCGATGAACTTCTCTACGTAATTTTGTCTTTGTTTAGAAGTTAGTGTGTAGACAGTACTTCAAGTTCATTGATGGGTGGAGGTCAAAAGATGTGAAAAAAAGTATTCTAATAACTCATGCTACCACTTTAGCTGCCTAATGTTGAGAATTGCAGGGCATAACCCTCAAATACACTTTGTTCACAACCTGCAACAAAGTACATTTGTGAGCTTTGTCCACCAGTTTAAAGATGAAGTGAAAACGATGGTTAGATGAAGAACTCTACAAGTAGTCCTCACCACCATTATGATGCCGTAGGAACCCCACCATTCGCAACATCACATTTTGTGCTAATAAGGTTTTTTGCTGAGTGCCTCTGAAAAGTCATAATCGAAAAGCAATCTCAGACAGATAAAAAACTTGAACAAATGATGAAGAACAGGTCCCTAGAAAGAACAGAGGTGAGNGGTGAGGAGGAGCAGGCATCTTATAATAATGAGTGAGAGTTTGACAAATGAAGCTAACACAGCGTGCAAAGTCTGCGAGTCTGACTCCGCCCACACTACGGTAGTTTTAGTCTTCCAGAGATTTTGAAGACATTAATGTTCCTTCCGCGAATTTTAGTATATGGTTTCCTTACTAACAGGCAACAACTTGCGATCACCTGTGGGAGTGAGTTTAGCAACAGCTAAACTCCTTACTCTTGAAAGTTGAAGTTGAGGTTGAAGCTGAGGGTTCAAAGGTTTTAATGACTGTCATCAATTTTTGTCGTTGAATAAACGAACGCGTGTGAGGCTTACACTGCGAGTGCTACCACCTGCACGTGCTCTGCTAGGGCCTGTACGGATCGTATTGCACCTAGATATTGTTTCCAAAATGATTGCATTCTGTGAAACATTCGCACGTTTTTGGCGTAACTGAAGCTCGGAGAGCGCTTGATTAAACCCTTCTTCGTGTTTACGAAATACTGGGTTGCATAACAAAACCAATCGCTACTCGTTGTTGTTAATTCTGTGCCGGGCCTAATTTAGGAGGCGATACCACTGCTCTACACACTGACTGCAACTCACAAAAGCAAGACAACATAGAACGTGCTTAACCACCTTCGCAGAAGTTGTTCCGAATGATCGAGCCAGCGTCACCTCACGATTTCAAAAACTTCATTATTATTATTATTATTGAATAGCTGCTTAAGCTGCTCTGTTTTTTGACCAGATCGTCCTCTTACCTTCTCGAGTTTTTTTTTTCAGAAAAAGACAAAAGGCAATGCCGATTGGTCGAGAAAGCTCAGATGTGAACTCAGAAGTACGAATTGTTGAGCTCCTTCGTTTCAAAGGCAGGAGGACTTCATCGCCAGCGAGTGAAGTATATGTTGCAGCGCTGTGTGCAATGGAAGAGCTAGGTCGTGGTGAAATTAAGGTAATGTCAGAGGTCTAGCACGCCACATATGCATTGAAAGAACTAGTATATGAAGATATTGATCCTGTTGGCCCTCTGAAACCACATATTGTTACTCAGCACTTTTTTCTGAATTTTCGGTAAGGGTAAGTATGCTTGCATCAAACACTGTACGGCTAAAAATAAATTACCGTGCCGGCGTAATTCTAACAACGGACGACGTCACCAGCGACTCGGTCAGACGAAGTTTGCAGAGGCTCAGCACTTTCCGGCATATTTTTTCATGCCTAAATCGCCCCTTAGAAAAATTCAAATACACGTTGATCTCAAAGAAAAGTCGTATTGAGCACCTTGCCAGTAAAATGAATCATGTAGCAATAAACTCATGAAAACTATTGGAAGGAAAGCCAGCCATTCTTAATTATGTTTGACTTGACGAAAGGAACACTTCCCGCAACCAGGTGCAATAAAAAGTTCCCGAATCCTAACCGTTACAATGTTATGTATAGAGATTCTGTTTCCGGCTTCGTGCGTTTCTAATGTTCACAAAATAGTGTCACTCTTGGCAACAACAAAACGCAATCCTACGTAATGAAGGAAAGGAACGCATGATTGACCAACTACAAGCAGTCAATGCCGCGGAAAATCGACTGCAAAGAGGTACACATACTGTGCGAATGGTAGGAACAATAAAGTCAGCCCGTTGCGAAGGATATACCCTTTTTGATTGTTTAGTGTTCGAAAATATGGGTGAAACTCTTCATGCTGATTCATGCCGAACAACCGAGAAAATCCGCTAAAATCACGTAATACGTATAAGGCGTTTTTTGAATCGATCACCACTAAGGCAGGATGAAGTGATGAGGTGAACAAATAACATTTGGGAGGGATTTCTGTTATCGATCTTAAGTGCTACGACAGAAAAGAAACTTACCTTTGATCCAGCTCTAAGTTTTCCAAATCGATCAGATATAAGGAACCCAAAAAGACACAGTCTCTTTTACATTTTGGGAGAGGCGCTAACACTTTTTCTTCAAACGTAGGGAAGCTGGCACTCAAAAAGTCTTTGGCTGTCGTTTTCATTTCACATAAGGTTATGAACAACTTTTTTTTCACAAAGGGACAAGGCGGGAACGTTTCGGGCGTACGACTGGTGACAACATGGAACCAAGCGAGGTCGATGAGATTTCGACGGCGTCGACGTGCGTTGTCGTTCTCTAAGTACCGAGTGATGGTTTTGGTCTTCTTTTCTTTATCTGAGTCCGTTGGTCATTTGCTGGGGTTCAAAGGGGGTAAGCGATAGCTGTAGTCATCTAGCCTGCATTCAGCAACTCATACATATTCGATGGTTCCCTTCATGCTCTATAATTTCTGAGACCTACTTCGTATTACTTCCAATGCTAAAATCTCTTGCGGAGAAGCGGTTTAACTAACTGTTGGGCCTCGATCGGTGGGCGAGCAGTATCTTCAACAATTAATCTTCAACATTCTTCCGCGTTTTCCTTATCGCTGATAAAGTTGCGAAAGCCCACATGCGCACCCTTGTTCACTCATGTGCTGATTTCTCGGGCTAAAAATTCATCATCCTCGCTGTCGTTTTCATATTGCTTATGCAAATTTTTTACGTTCAAAATTTTTTGCCGAAGTACTTTCTTGCCAACTCAATGTTAGCAGAACGGATTTCTATCAACAAGATATGTTGAAAGCTATTTTCATCCCAAACTGTGCCACTAGTACCACTTGGGAACGCTTTCTAAAGCTTGAATTAAACTACATTAAATGATCTGAATTTTCATTTATTATAATATCAAGCAAGCGTTCTGTGAAATGGTTTTGGGTGGTTTGTGTATCCACTTCTACATGCGCATAAAGAAAAGGTTTCAGATTATACAGGGTGCGCCATAAATATGGTAACAAAATAATTTGGCCACAGAAATAGCAGTTCATATTGGTACATAATGAATTTATGTGAACTATTTACTATGCTTCATGCCTTCGAAAAGAACACACGGTCATCTTATATAACCGTCTGCTGTACTACTTATAGCTCGAAGACGCTCCGGCTACTCATCGACGGTGGTACGCAGAGTTTCTTGAGAAACGCTATTACTTAGGAGCAGCAACAGCTGTGCGTTGTGAAGCGCAGGCTTTCCTCTCCAGTATGTACTATATCCAGCGACCCATCACATTGTAGCCCGGGAAATTCATAGAAGGATTGGGAGGTAGGATATGGTCGCGAGCATTTCTTCAGTACCAGTCTCGCTCTTTTCCCAATCGAGAGCAAGTGCGCCGTAGTTTTCAAATCGAATCCCTAGAAAAATTTTTGAATCACAGCTGCTCAGATTCGGAATAAGTTTTGTACATTTCTCGAACAAAATTTGCGATATCGCTCTGGTGGTAGAGATTCTAGCCCAAACTATCATGAAACAGGAAAAATGGCTTTGGGAGGCGATCTGACTCTTCTCAACGGCTTCAGAACATGTTCAAACAATTACTTCGGAACTCATCCACCATCTACGTCAAGCAATGCTTCCCATTTGCTAGATATTCGGATTCCAGAAGCGAAAAAGTTTTGTTCTTCAGGTGCAATCCACGCCTTGACATCGGCCATCAAGTCATCCAAATCGAAATAACTTCTATTCCTCAGCCATTTTTCAGCGAACGGTTGACAAGATAATCCATAGAAGTTCCTCCTAGTGAATATGGCAGATCTAGGAGCAGATCCCACTTCTTGGCTGGCTTTGGGTGATTGTTCCATCGCCGAAAAGTTACTGAGATCATGGGAAGACTCTGCTACCTTCCATCATTTCTCGAAGTAGTACAGCCTAATTTCTATATGCTAATGGTTTTATAAGTACATCTTTGTAGAGGAAAACAAGCAGATCTTCTAAAAAAAACCCATACTCAATATTTAGACGAAAGAGAGACGTACACATAGAGATATCAAGAGACAAAAAGCTGCGAAAAAATCTGCAATAATTCTGCATCAACCTAAAAAGAATGGCATTCGATCCGTATTGGGTGACGCTCCATAGGACGGAACTGATCCGGAACCGAGTCACAGCAGAATGAGTACCTCCATCAATTCTAGTCGACGTCAAGGAGAAAGTTGTTAGTAAGGCAAGGAAAGAGTTCCACATCATAGTTTTCTGATCTCCTGTGCAGTGGTATAAATCGCTTAGAGACGCGATGGTCTGTTCAATGAGGCTGAACGGTCCTGCTTACAGCACCCTGAACACTATAATTTTCACTTGTTGTTTAACGCCCAACGCCAATGTCGAATGGAGTGACTCGTCGTCTTATCACGAGCCATTTTTTCTATTTTTCGTCCCGAAGGACCAGTTCAGGGATAGATCCAATGTCACCGTTCAGGGTGGGAATGCCGACAGGAAAGGTTCCCGGTTGCTGACACAAGAGTCCCTGGCTAGTGAGCCAGCGGCGGCTGCAGTCAAAAAGATATCGAACAGGAGCCCCAGCACACTTAAACACATATCGACTGAAACATCCATGGTTGATTCAGCGAGGGGGGAGGGAGGAGGAGAGGGAAGGGTGGCGGGTACGGGTTTGATTCTTCCCTGACGATGGCGGAATCTGCAACCGATTCGCATTATATGGTGGTCGAACCTTCATGAGCAAAATTGAAAGGCATTGTGGGGACCTTTTTACGTACTACAAATGTTTCTGGCGAAAATCCGTTCCCGCAGACAGTGAAGAATTTGTCAGAAAAGATTTGTGGTTTTTCAATGGTTCCGGGAGGGAATCAATCTCTCAATCTGTTGTCAATGAGCTAAATCACTAGACTGGAAAATATTTTTGATCCTTTCTGCTCACCTGATTCTTTAGTTGCAAAAATCGCAATATTTTTGTATTATGAGACTGTAAACATCAATGATCAGAATACAGTCACGAACCTTTCTTTTGATGGAAGAGTGCACAGTCGTCTGAAGCCTATAAACTAGCCTACGATTATTGCAAGTGACGACGAATTATATCTCACCGTCACGTTAAAAAAGCTGGCTCATTGACAATCAGGGGAGGGCATCACTACTTCATCATCAACGTTACTACTTGAAATCGTTCGAGAGGAGGTTTGTAGTCTTAAGAAGCTCTTAGTACGAGTCTACTACCCTTTTTTTGCAATTATGCTAGCAAAGACTCCTTTGAAATGTTGAGAAGCTCCCTTCATTTCTACCAATAACAGTCAGTACTGCAGATAACTTGTTTCTTTGTGGAATATCAAATTAAATATTGTTTATGTCCTTCACGTCCCCTTAGTGCCCTTTTTCCGCCTGAATGTTCTGTCGTTTCTGCAACTGGGCAATGTTCCTGGGCAATATAACAGTGACCCATAATAGACAGGGTTCGGAAAAGGCATGAAGCCCATTTGCTCGTATGAAATCGGGGCAAAATCTCTCCCTTTTGTGCCGATTGTGCTCAAACAATTTCATCATGTGTCCCCTCAACATGATCGCACTGTAGTTGGAGCACTTCATCCCTCGCCCCCCTCCCTCCCCCTTC